GAAGTTGATTCTTTTTTCGGATTCACTAACTTGTATGAATAAACTAATAAAATGTTTTACAAACTACATTTGTGAGTTCATTTGTATAAATAAAGTGAATAAATAAATAATGAGAAGAATGAAATACGATTGGATATGACTATAAAGGAAGGCCCAGGACAAAGTGTGTTAGAGAATGCTGGCCGGCGACCTATGCTCCGTTGGGAGTAACAGGCATAAGTAAGTAAGCAGGAGTCCAAAGTAGTTCTAATAGTCTATGAATAAACTATGAACTAATGATTCTTTTGCACCTGATGTCAGCCTAATTTTGCATTGTAAATACAACACGTCCGTTTGTGCTCACCTGATTCTGTTTGATTTGGACTGAACTGTTTCAGGGATTCCTAGTTCGTACAATAATTCGAATACTTCTAACAATCACAAACACCCATGGTTTAATCTTAGTAAGGATATAACAACTTTTTTGTTCTTTTTTCCACTCTGTATCTTTGTTTCTACTCAAGTCTCTTACAACTACGTTCTTCTTCAATCTTCCTTGTCTGGAATTTTATTGTTTGACTTTAGTAAAAGGTTTGATTGTACTGATTAATTTTACTTTTGCATGTTACCAGGCTTGGACAATGGAGTCATGTTTGGCTAAGTTCAGGGTAACAGAATAGACAGCTACTTTGAGAGACAGTAGCAGGTTCAGATCGATTAACCGGAGAAATATCTTAGGAAGGTTATCCGGTTTTAACAGCTGGAATGACTAATATCTTAGAAAAAATTGGAAAATGACGTCATCTCAAACAACGGATTCTGGTCATCATAGTTTATAAGAAAGAAACCAACTTTTGTCACTTGTGGTGTAGGCAAGATATCTGCAAGTTACAACATATACTAGTTCACAGCGTGCATCCCAAGCACGGTTATTTAGTACATATAGTCTATAAAAGTTAATGACGGTTCATTCATTCAGATATACTGTGTATTATTAAAAATACTTTCCAAAGAGGCATCGTGTCCACGTTACACACCAGATACAATTTCGGCAAAAATTGTATTAGGATTTTGGTTGAGGGACATTACGAAAACAATAGATTCAATTCAGATCAAACTCGCGTAGTTGAGAAAGCTTACTGTCAGGAAAAATATTCGAGTTATAGATGAATTTTAAAACCTCTTGAACACCATTAGCTTGTAGATCACTAACTTAGATTATATATATCGAATGATTAGGAGCCTATTCGAGTTAGACGGGAACGGTGTAACCAACAGTTAACTTCGAAGTCACACTTCGCCGTCAGCCCCTACCGAGGCTTACCCCTACGTCGTATCAAGGTACAGTTGCTTCTTTAAAGACAGGATAACACAAAGGGCGTTATTATAGAAATACATTGTTTAGAGTAGGTACAAGAGAAAGTGTGACCAATACCTCATGGACCAATTCATGGCGTACGATTAGCGGAAACGCGGTAGTTGTACCTGACCTTGATTGGGATCGATTAATTCATAGACCTTCAGTGACACAACGTCTCCAAATGCCCAGGTGCGGACGAGAGTGAGGAGAGGCCGCCCTCCCTTTCGAAATGCTCTCATATGGCCACGCGAATATATAGCCTCTGCCAGGGAAGTCCTACTCACTGCCAGCTCGGGGTGGGGGTCTTGTTTACGAAATTGAGAGGACAAAAAGAGAATGTCCGGCGCTTTGACCGGGTTGGTGGACATGGAAGGTTCACCTAGGGGAGTTAGAAAACCCTGACTGCAAACCGATGGTGCAAATGGGCTCCAGTATCCTGAGGAAACAAATGGCGGATGGACCAGCTGTTGGTCACTGGCTACCAAGGGACTGCATCTCCTCGCAATGCTCTACTGCCTTTTGGGTTAGACCCTTAGGCCAAACGCTCGACGTGTGGCCTCCTAAGAAAACCACCTGCTTTGGTCTGGGTACCCGGGCATTATCACAGCCCTCACACAAATAAATGAAATGACGCTTTCTACTGACAATCCTATTCTCGCTTCAACTAAAGGTTAGACAATTTATATTATCATTTACCACGTCACTTATTCACTCCGTTTCATTCTTCATTTGTGTATCCTTACTTTTCAACTTATGCAGCAGCTCGCCCATGGTGGAAACTCTGTCCTATCTAAATGACTCGAGTCACTGACTGGTCGAAAGTGAATGCTTCCTCCGAATCGGAATACTGAACCAGTCTTTCTGAAACCACGTACACCGTTCAGTGTGACTCCCTTCAACAGTCACACAATAATACAGATGGGATAAAGATAGGGCTGGCTATGTCTTTAGAAAGTCTTAATGTCGACGTTTGTTGTCTGTCCGACACCCGTACTCAAGACTCTAGTGACGTACAACAAATTCGCTCTCCATCTGTCGCTTCGAAAAGCTTGTTCCATGTGCATTTATCCAGAGATCCTGTGGCATCTTCGTCTGGTCTTACTGGCATTGGTGTCACACTAAGCGCTAGAGCTCAGGCAGCGCTAATCGATTGGATCCCCATTAACAGTCGGTTATGTGCTGTTAGATTATTAAGCTCCATCAAAGTGAGAAGAAATAGACGTGAGAAACGATGTCTTTTTGTCATTTCCGCCTATGCCCTGACAGATTGCGGCCCGGATGCAATCAAGGATGGATTCTACCACCAGTTAACTGTTGTTCTCTAGAAAATGCGCATGGCAGATATTGTAGTACTAGCCGGAGTCTTGAATGCACAGGTCAGGCGTCTAGGCACAGAAGAGAGTTGTTTAGGTGGCTGAGGGGACTTGTTGGTCGCAGGACAGATAACGGGGACCGTTTGCTGCAACTATGCACAGACCACAACCTGTTTCTGGCTAGCACTAATTTCCGTCACAGTCATCGCCAATGTGCCACCTGACGTCCTTCATCTGCATCTGTAGCCTGGAATCAGATTGATTACGTCGCGATTAGCTACCGCTGGCGTGATTGTGTATAAGACTGCTGCTCTCCATGGAGTACATGTCTGGGCTCTAACCATGCGCTGGTATGAGCCAATCTTACCCTACTTTTCAGTGGCCAACGAGTTGATCGCCATCAACAGATGGATGTCAGAAAATTGGTTGATACTTCTGTTGCAAGTAAGTATCGAACCAAGATAATTTCTAGGCTAGCTACCATCCCACCGAAGTGTAGATGAGCATTGGTTGCAACCGCATTTCTGTAACAACTGTCGAGGGATAAGTCTACTTCCGATTGAGTCCAAACTATTAACTTCTGTTATTTTTCGTAGGTTGTTTAAAATCCGAGAAAGATTGACTCGTGAGAAGCAGGCTGGTTTTCGTCCTGGTCGAGGATGCATTGATCATATCTTCACCCCTCGCCAAATGTTATAACACCGTCATACCTATCACAGACCAACAATCGTAGTGTTTTTTGATATCAGTGTCATCTTTGATTCTTTGGACAGGACTGTTCTCTGGGATTGTCTATTGAAGAAGGGTGTGCCTGAGACGTTTATTAACATCTTAAAGGCCCTGTATACAAACACCTCAGGCAGGGTGAGGGCATGCAACCACCTTTCTCCATTGCTCCGTTCAAGCAGTGGGGTTGGGCAAGGTTGTCCAATCTCACCATTCCCCTTCAACTTTGCCATCGACGACATTTTGGAAACAGCTCACATGGTTGTAAGTAATGGCAACGTGGATGTGTTGTCAGGACTAGCAGGATACTAATCCTGTACTCACCCTGGGCGGTGAGCAGATTGAAGTAGTTGAGAAGTTCATGTATCTAGGTAGCGACATAAGTGCTGGTCGTGGCGTGAGAAATGAGATTGATGCACGTATAATGAAAGCCAGAGTGGCTTATGCCAATCTGGGCCATCTTTGGCGCCTTCGTGATGTTAGTCTGGCTGTAAAATGTCGGATCTACAACGCGTCAGTGAGAGCAGTTTCGCTTTATGCTTGTGAAACCTGACTTCTCCAACTTGAGGATTTTAGAAGGCTCTCTGTGTTCGATCATCGTTGTCTCCGAAGGATTGCTGACATCCAGTGGCAACACCATGTTAGTAATGCAGAGGTTCGGCATCGTGTGTTCCAGAGCAGAGACGATAATTCAAATGGTGTCACCATCTTGAAACACCGGCTTCGGTGGCTTGAACATATTCTACGAATGCAGTCCCAGAAAATTCCACGTCGTGCACTATTTACCGATGCTGTGACTGGTTGGAATGAGTGGAGAGGTGGTCAGTGTATTACATGGTGTCGTGGTATAAAAGCTGCAAAGGTCTGGCTTCTGTTGGTCCTTACCGACCCTCTGGTTGGGGTGCAAAAGATGCTGTAACAAAGTAGCTAGAGATGTTATCAGATGTGGCTGAGAATCGAAGCCAGTGGCAATCATGCTGTAGCTTTCGTTTACTTATTTCATAAAGAGTGGTCATAACTTCCTTAACTGAAAGTGATCTTTTGGTTGTACATTTCAGTTCCTTTTGGCGAAATTCTCTCGTTTTCCCCCCATTATTACTCTTGTAGTGGATGTCGAGTCGAAGACGGACTATGATCACCACTACAATTCGTTTACGCGCCCAAAAACGACTTGGTTCCTTTGGTAGCTTGTAAATCAAAAGGCTTTATTAGTCCAGATCGATTGTATTTATTGGCGATCTCGTGGTATCGAAATAATACCGAGACGTGCCAAAGAGTACAGGCGAACAGGTAGTGCGTGAGCAAGTTCGAACCAAACAAGGCGGAGAGCGAAAGCAGAAGTGAAACTGAGACAGTTAAACAAATACAGTAAAACAATCTCTGGTACGATTGGTTACAATAATAATAATTGTTTCCGTTATTCCAATCGTGTTCTTATCGAGACTGGCCGGTCACTACACTCTCATTATAACACTGACGTACACTATGTGGTTCTTGTTGTTCCTTCTTTTTTTCTTATATGTACCTCACTTTTTTTCTCTTCCCATTCTCATTGTTTTGTGTGGCGCATATATATCTAGTGCCCCCTTGTACCAATACTTATGTGTTTAAATAAAATAAATAACTAGACAGTGACCTAACTGCTGGATGATTTCCCCAGAACTCAGTGATATTTCCTTGGCCCTACAAGATTGAAACAAGAAATTTTTATGATTCTCATATTTTCTCTGCTGAGTAAATATCAAGAATAAATTCCATTGGCTCTTAAATCACAGTGGACAAACATAATCTGATTTCAAGAGTCATTAGATCTGGATAGTCACTACACTAATTTAAACGCCGTGGTCAACCGTCATATATATAGATGAAAAGTAATGGGATTGGTAAGGATATAACCGACCCAGTCCTAATAGGTGCTCGAGGTTCCAGTAAGTTGGTGACGACTCAGAGTGACCTCCCGAATGACCTTCATGAAAATACCGCCTGTCGGAAATTCATTAGGAGTTTAGGAGCTATCACCAAAATATGTGCGATTATGGAGAGATATACGATAGTTTTCACCTTTGCAAGTAATGACTGATCATTTTCATTGCAGTCTCTTGTTGTCGAACTCATAGTTAGTTTGCAATTGTTGGTATTTTAATCGACCTAGACATGTTTACATCACGTCTGTATCATCAATGTTATATGAACGTCAGGAGAGACGCCAATGAATACAACGAAGCGGCAAGTTAAACGAGACAGAACGCTGTGAAATGGTACCAGTCACGACCTACAGAGGTGGATAATGGTGTCTACCCCCACTCATTATTATTAAGACTTTGATTGATAGGTAGGAGACTTTAGTCAAAGGATTGAGATTTGTGCACTGTTGAAAGGCTGACGTCCGGTGTTATTCTTTTTTCAATAAGGTCCTATGAGTGTCGAGTTTTTTCTTGGATCAGTTTACAAAAGTTACTAAAGATGCCACAGACGTCTATAAATTCCTAAATTTCTCAACTTCGTTAGGAATCTCTTACGGGACACCAAGTCAAATGTTTTACTGAGTTCAGTGTAAATAATATCCTCCAATGTTTTTATTACCACATGATGACATTCACCATTGTCTAACTATTAGGCTGTTACTCATGCATGACAATTCTTTGTTAGAACCATGTTGTATAGAAAAGAACTAGCTGGAAGTCCCTCAAGTTTTTATAGGACTGTATTTCTATTTAGTTTTCTATTTCGTTTTTATTTCCTACTCGGGTCTCTTGAAACCATGTTTGATTTTCTTCAGCATTATTTGTTTAAGCTTTTATTATTTGACTTTGGTTAAAGATATGCCTTTATTACTTAATTTTACTGTTACAGGTTGCCGGGCTGTTGGCGATAGAATGTCGAAGTTTGTGAAGATAGATTTTTTATTCATAGTCCTGATTAAACTACTCGTTATCATGTTCCCACTACTTTATTTCGTCCTGCATTTGGAAAAAAGCGCTGGTGTAATTTCAAGTTAGTGTTCATAAAAAAGTTGAAAAGTAGGACACAATGAAAACCTAGCAATAATATAAGACGCAATGTTGGGAATAGGTCGAAAGAACATTTTTGTTGGCTGGTGTAATTTTCAGCAACGGGAAGTAGCAGTTTCGATGCAAATAGACTGAGCCTACGGAATGCAGGTCTCCTGAAACACAGGGTTTTTGCTTATTGTTCTGTGGCTGTCCTAGAAAGTTTTTTAGTTTAATGAGGTATCATACATCATAGAATCCACGTTAATCATCTTCAAAACGATATTTCAGTTACGTAGATTATATGAGACCCAAAACGCATGTATTGCGAAGCGCATGAATTTACCTCGGAACCGCTCAGAAATTTAGCCTGCTATTACCATTGGTACTAAAAACCAGTTAATTCATCTGGTAATGATCACGCTTATTCAAGGTTCATCACCAGATAATTTTAGTAGCTAAGGGTAAATCTTTAGAACTTTCCTTTTAGGGAGTGAAGCTTATGGTTTTGACAGTAATTGTAAAAGATATTTGCCATCACTAGACCATGGAAACAGTAGAACGACTTATCTAATGGCCCAGAAGATAAATTAATAAGTCTCCACCACTTTGAAGCTACATGGCTTAGCTAGCCAATTAAGCGTAGTTCAAAATGAATTATTTAGAACATAGGACACATAACAGAAGAAAAATATTGTCAGCGTTACCTGTCAAACTTCCAATATACTACTAGGCGTGGTAAATTTCAGGATACGTGGGAAAATGCTATAGCGAGAACAAAAAGGTGGAAAATAGCGTTTTCAATGAAATCCCCGAGATTTTATTACCCACCGAGTTAATGTTGAGTTTTGATACACTAGAAGTGAACAAGTTGGACTGTTCCTTAGGAATCTGAAAACGATTAGCTCATCATAAAACAATTTTGTGAGTACCGCCCCTTATTATTGATTTTATAAACGTTTGTTTAGCTTTAAACTTTGTTTCTTTACGAATTTGGCCTGGAACGTTTGTGTTCTAATTTACCTTCTGTTTATCCTCATGCATTCTGGCCGAAACGCTGAGTGCTTTTTACGAAATTTATCATTACTATCATTATACAGAACAATATTTTGATATTTCGCAATCTGCAAACAAAAATAGAAGCAAATTGTATCATTATTTGATCAAAATTTGCGAATATAACAACCATTCATGCTAAGATCGAAGTAGAATCGAGGCTTTCGGTATGACGTAGGCGTCAGTTAGCAATTATGATCTTTCGTGCGAATTCACGAGATATACGAGTGAAGATAGAAATGAAATCCATCTTTAATACCATAGACACTTGAAAACATTTGAGTTCCGATGTTTATCTTTATCTGACACAGAGAGCCAGGTAGTCGATTTGGTCCAAAGGGAAACTAAGATACTTGCCAACCCTTGCCCGGAGATTTGACCGAGTGTATGTCCTATTAGAACCTGTGAAACATTATTGAACTGAAAGGTAAGTAATTGTCTTTCCTTGGTGTTAAATAAAATTGCAATGACTGGTGTTCCTCAGCATTTTCCATTCATTTAGTCAGCGAACGCTGCAAATAAAAGTATGATTTTATTCAATTCGATCATCTAAAGCTGTCTTCACACATGTCTTCCGAGAGTATGCTCCTGTAACACATCCTAAATGAACAGATGAAAAAACCGAGTTTAGCAAAAACATGAAATGAAATCCTATGTGGAAATTACGGTCCTGCATGTATTATCCACCAGAAGATGCCTTAAAATCCTCAGTACCCCTGAAGAAGTTAACACTGAGAAAGATGTGCTACAAATTTGTGGATTCGCATGCAATTTCTTATGTGGCTCTGTTAGATCCTATCAATCAAACACAAGTAGGTACTTTTAATGAAAGTCTTGAAAGTTATCAAATCAAATACTGTCCAGAATCAAATGGAAGGATGTTCATATCATCATTTAGCTATTCTGCGGCAGCATGATATGAAACGCATTTGAACCTTGAAGATTTTTTATTCACAATGTTTTTTTTTAAACCCACCCCATGGATCAACCCACAAATAATACCATCGATCGACACTGAAGTGTGGAAACTATGTACAACTGAGCAAAAATTTGCCACGACAACTGGTTGGTTGCTCTCAAAACTATGTCAATAGCAACATCAATAACTGACAGTAATCAACAAGCAGATTAAAAATAATTGTAATTGTTTGACAATCACACAGAAAGTCTAAAGTATAGGTAAAAAATTATGGTGTACCCACTCTGTTTAGTATATTTCCGCACTGCTTCCATGTTCCGTTACAGCTCCAATACAAGCACCAGAAGTGAGCCAGCATCCAAGCACAAATTAAACTCACCATATTCCTATAAGCTAACCGTAGCTTCACACGACAAACGAAGCAACATTGTTTTCAATACGCCTGCTCGTGGTAAGCAATTTCGAGTTGTTCGGGGTCGCGCGATTCCTAGTGGTGTAGTTAGACAACGGAAAAAGTCGAGATTCCAGCCGGTGTTCAAGGTCTGTAGCGATAGCTGAGTAATTATATTAAGAACTAAGAGAATCTCAAGGCCAACCCGTTGAGACCGCACCGTAGCGCCCACTTTACTATGGGGGTTGTGCATGTGGATCGGTCATGTAGTGCTTGTGAGAGTCAGCTTCTGCGAAGCAGAAACAGGCTTCGAAATTGTTGGGTCATGAATGGATTTGCTGAAATGAGGCGAAAGGGTCTTAATCTTAAATAACTCGAGTCTGTCCCGCCATGACGAACACAAAGTTTACTGAAGGGTTGGAAAATATCCGAAAATATAAAAACAATATCACAATACGTACGAAATTCAAGGAATGATATATAATGTTCCAACAGGGAAAAGACGCATAACTCACTGTTTGGTGTACCAGATCACATCGAGCTCACTACTAAAGATGTAATAACCATCTGGAGTTTGAAAACACCTTTACATGCAAAACCTCCATACCAAATCAGAAGACAGAAATGAAGGAGTTCAAAGTTATACTTGGAAATCTGTCGATATATCGAGGATCATTTGGTCTACGCTTGCTAACAGTTGTAAGAGATGCGTAGCACGACGTACCCACTCGTAATCTGGTGCGGATGCGTGATCGAGTGCCTTCAGATTAATGGGGATGGATTTACCACTACACTATTAAACGTATTGAAAAGCCTAGTGCATAACCGGTTGAGATCCAATAGTAAAAACAATCTTCTAAGGAGACTAATACTGATATATTAAAGGTCAGTATTTGACAGGTCAAAGGTTTTAATCGCTCAATCAATGTGAGACAGGCTGACAGATTCTTGGGATCATCAGCCTTGGTTTAACTTATTGATGTAAAACTTCAGGAACTTATCATTCGTGAAAGGGTTATATTAAGTGTTCTGTCTACTTATTCGGCACTATCTGATACACTATAGTGTCGGCTGATACGTTAAGCCCATATACCATATTATAGCTTCTGGACTATTCAAATTACCTATCCATCATGAGTCATGCGTTGACCTTGTTAATTATTCACTCATTAGCCCTGACTGTTTTTATATGAGCGTATGTGTGTGAGCACTTTTTATCCTATACATCACATATCTGTAATTTATTTTATCTGACTATAAACATTGATTAAGGCGAGTTGGCTTACCCTCCATCTCCAATGCATGTAATTTTTGCTTCGCTCTCTTCTGTTCGCTTCATCCCTCTGATTTTCTGTCCAGATCAATGAATGTACAAAATATATGTATTCGAAATCCATTCTCGTATTAAACTTATTTAACTCCGTTATCCATCAACGTAGATTAAGTCATGTATTGCATACGAGGATAGACAGGATGTATATTTTGACAAAAATCATTTATATGGCCAAATCAGGAATCAGATTTATATCCCCCACAACACATTGATTCAACCGCCTTGAACCATTGTGTTGATTACTATGGAAGTTTATCTAAGTAGTACTAAGGCATCTCAGCTGAATACATCTTACCAGTTCAAACTACATCTTCAAGTTTTCCTTGATGAATATTTTTCATTATATGAGCATGATTATCTTCCTAAAAGGAACTACAGCAATAACTCATTGTCATGAATCAATATGTTTCGTGTTTAGCTGTTGTTTTATATGTCTTGTTGAAACTCAAATGAAACTAACGTATATCAATAGTATACGGCGTAGATTCATGACATTTTAAAAGTTTTTAGACTTCTATCTCATCGAATTGGAGCTGGAAAGGTAATTTATACCAAGTTTACTTTCTCCATGTGGATGATTATTTGGAAATCTGGAAACTCTAATGTTACTGATAAATGGTTTTTAAAAGTCAAGGTGTTTAGTTCAACTCTGAAAATAAAGTTAAGTGTATAAAGTGTATTTTAAGTCAGTTACTTAAAAAAAAGGTTGATTCAATAGAAGTAAAACTGTGAACCGCTTCAGATATTTTTTGAGTTACAACGTAGAAGAAGGAATGACTCGTTTACTAGATGTTTTATATTTATACTGTAGACACTAGTTAAATCAGTTGATAGAGTAATTTTCTCTATATTTTACTATTTAGTCTCATCTGTATAGGACAACTGTAATTAAAATATTCGAAAATAATCACTCTTTTGAATATGATCTGAAGTCATTCATGCAACAAAATGAATATTAGACATATGTTTCGTTCAAGATTTAGAATCACTAAATGGTTTGATACCAAAAAACTACTAGTTTGTAAAAATGAATGAAACTTTAGTAAATGAACGATTTTAAATGAAACCAAAGAAATCTATAAGGTTATGCATTTTATATTGCTTCAAGGTAATTAGTTGGTACAAATTTAATTTCACCACATGGATGAAATTTGACTAAACTCCAATTGGTATTCCCATTGCGACCATAAGATCTTATAATTGTCACTAACTGACCTTTGGCCGATATCACAACACTTTTATTTTTAGAAGAAAAGTCATGAGTAATTCTGTGAGTTGGTTTATCGAATAAACCATCATTCACACAGTGTTTTGAAGTTGAAGGTTGTTCTTTCGTATTTGTATGTTTAATGTGATCACCTGAAGAAATTGTGCACAGTTTTTGCTCTTGTTGGTTATCAGACTCATGATACTATATAATAGAGGGAAAAATCCATCAAAAATAAATTGTAAGGTAAAAGTCAATCCAATTTTAGAACAGTATTTAACCTTGATTAAAGAAACTGATACAAAAACTACATGACTAACACAGTGATAATTTAAAATCCTTGAGTATACAGTAAACTCGTTACACAGTGCAGAAATTCGAATAAATAGCGAATTTATTTTTCAAAAATCTTGTTTTTAATTATTTGTGAATAAGGAATGAATGATTATAATTTTCATCAAACGTTTCTATCTCAAATAATAATCCTTATTTTCAATATCAACTAGTATTAAGAGACCATATTTTTGATGCAAATATAAAAAAAAACATCATAGACCATCTGTGTATGTCATCAGAATAATCATTTTTACGAAAATAAATTTTTGAATTGATTATTTAGATTAGTACATCAATGATGATAGTTAAATAGGTAATACCTATTAATACATTATGTTACGCGTCACTGGAACTTGAAAAAATCTGGAGGATTTTTATGTCAGTAAAAACATGTAGATTAACGTGAAACGATGTTTTTACATAATCTTAACGGTTTCATTATAAATTTGACCATTCCTCTAGATTTAAAGCTTTAACCCTAGTCGTGATTAATTAATTGGTAATCTTGTTATAAAATATGTTTCATAAAAAATAAAGATCTTATATTTTGTCTATTTCTACAATGTACAATAAATCGAGACTAAACTAATGCGTCTACCAAGTAAAATTAACAGTATGAAAATTATATGTTCAACTTACAATAATTTTCATTTCGGGATATGGCGATAAGGAATTGCTAATAACACTTCCAGTTGGAATTGTTAGACAGGGATGAGTATCTATACCTGAGGTTGATAGATGACTGCTAACTGACATCACAGCTAGATAAATTTAAGAAATTGTCAAACATATAACTGATTAAAGACAAATGTACAGTAGATCAGAGTGTGAAGATGAAAAATCTCATTAATTGTTTTATGTTTTTCAGTTCCAAATACACAATAATGGATTTGGAAAATGTATAGACATGAAGTATTCTGGAGTTTTCAGTTTGACTTAAAATTAAACTAATACAAAGTTCTCTTTCTCAAGTTAATCATGCAGCTATGCTTATTCAACATAATAATACCAATAGATATATGACTAAATTCACTCGACAATTATTCGTAACATACTTTGTTGTCTGTGACAAAATTAGAATGACAAGATTGACGAGGTAAATACTATCAAGTCAGTACAACTATAAGAAAATAACACATAATTTGCGCATTCAATTACTCAATCAAAGAAGTGCAATTTCGTTCAATCAGTCTGGTAAACTAATGTCAAGTGTTTTATACATCGACTGTATTATTCTTTGTCTCATACATTGTATCACAAGAACTCTATGGTCATGATTACTCAACAGTTTACAGAAACAGTGTTAATTGCAAGATCTAACTTTATATTGCATATAACTATATTTTCTTTAACTAATCATTTACTAGCAACATGTATGTGTAGAAATTTCCTCTTCTCAATAAAACAAGAAGTAAGCGTTAAAAACATACGGAGCCTCATTAATCTTCATCGTTATAAATTTATTTAAAAGAAAAATTGTGTTGTGGAACAAATATAAAGGCGACTAGTCAACAATAATACTTAGAATATTGTGGACATTTCGACCATCAGTTTGAAGTCAATACAATAAAACATTTCAAAAAGTGACCCAGCAATTAACTTATCATAAAGCAATAATTATTATTTTGAAAATTCAGTTGGTTTTGAAGTTCATTCAAAGACAAAAATAATTTCAAATACAGACTTGCAGTATTTGTTAATAGTCAATTCAGTTCTAATTCGGAACACTGATTTGTTTATTAATTACAATACTTGCAGGAATAAGTAATCAATTTATTGAGTTTCAGGCAATGTCATAAATGTTTTTTTTACTCAGAAATCGGGATAATACTTAAACTATTCAATTTATTTAATACTCATACAAATCGGCTGGTTTACCATTACTTTAATAACCTTAAATCCCTAATAATCCATTTATATTGAGAAATAATACATGAAATAAGTAAAAGAAATATTCAAGCGTAAAAATTCTAAAATCTTACGAGATTCTTGAAGAGGTAAATTATTCTTATCACTACACGTTGATTCTTCTTCCCACTTAAGCCCATTAGGTACTTCATATGTTCTATGAGTTCGACAACGTTTTGCTTCGTAGAGGAGAGATTTTAATTTATCTACACGAATAATAAATTCTGCAGGAGATATATTACATCCAGGTTGTATAGATATATTGCTTTTTTCAGTCTGTCGAGAGTATAAAATGTTTTTGGCACTTTAATTAAGGACATTCTACTATATAAACAATTAAATATTAATGTCTTTGCAAAATTATTTGAAAAGTCTTAAAGTTTAACTTTTTTTATCAAAATTGCAGTTATTCTAAATATCAATTAATAAACACAGTCGATCAGACAAAGAAAACAGTTCAAAAACGGTTTATTCATAAACAGTGTGCTTTTACATAAAACTGCAAACATTTAATAATCCAAGTCGTACTGATCTTTAAAATATTTTTTATTCGTTCATAGCAAGCATCATTTTTTTAAAATAATATTTATTATTTCATTTAATATGTCTTTTATTTAATATTTTGAAATTAAAGTAATTCAACAAAGTGATTAGAAAGATAAATTAAGTTAACCAAAAGGTGATAGTTCATGAGATAAAGAAAATCCATTCGGGATGCACATATACCAACGTAAACGTATTAAAATACAGTTCAGAATATTAATAACACCATAATGTAAACTCTTACAAAACAGATAGAACTTATGTTGTCACCATTTCTTCAGTATCTTAATAAAGTATCTTTCTTTCCAGTCCTTTGGTGCTTGCTTTCCTTCCCAAATCTTTGTGAAAAGGATGTGACCTTTTCAGATGGATTCGGGAAATTTCGGGGCGGAATCATATAATAATGTCTGCTCAAACTTGGTAACCCTCTTGAGGGATAAGTCGCTGACCAGGGATTTTCAAATATTCTGCTCCTTATTTGTTGCCATGTGCTATTTTTGGTCTTGATATCTACGTCCAATTTCCAGTACCGTATGCTCTTTGGTCTTCATTTCCTCTTGTTAAAGATACCGATTTAGGGCTCCTACAGTGATGCAGTTTAGTGATTTCCGTAAATCGTGACCTATCCACATCTGTTTTTTCCTAGCGTCCTCCCAAACTGCCAACTTGTTTGTTGCCTACCAGGCGATTATTGCTGATGGCCTGTGGCCAATCAATCTGGAGTATCTTGCAAAGACAACTGTTCATATAAATGCTTATAGTTTTCGATAATGAATGTGATACTTCTCCAAGTTTTGGCTTCGTACAATAAAATGGCTTTAACCTTTTTATTGAAGATTCCAACTTCGCTATTGGCTCTCAGTTCTTTTGAGTTCCAGATGTTGTTCTGTTGCTGCCCTTGCTTCGCCGGTCCATGGCTTCACATCTGCATCATATCCTCCTTGTTTACCAATCATGCTACCCAGGTACACAAATGCTCTCACTTCTCCCTTACTTACTTACTTACTTACTTACGCCTGTTACTCCCAATGGAGCATAGGCCGCCGACCAGCTTTCTCCAACCCACTCTGTCCTGGGCTTCCTTTTCTAGTTCTATCCAGTTCTTGTTCATTCTTCTCATGTCTGTCTCTATTTCTCGGCGTAATGTGTTCTTTGGTCTTCCTCTTCTCCGTTGACCTTCAGGATTCCATGTGAGGGCTTGTCTTGTGACGCAATTAGCTGATTTCCTCAAGGTGTGCCCAATCCACTTCCAGCGCTTCTTCCTGATTTCTTCCTCTGCTGGAATCTGGTTTGTTCTCTCCCACAGTAACTTATTGCTGATAGTGTCTGGCCATCGGATCCGAAGTATTTTGCGTAGACAGCTGTTGATGAATACTTGTATCTTCTGGATAATGGCTTTCGTATTTCTCCACGTCTCCGCCCCATACAGTAGAACTGTCTTGACATTTGTATTGAAAATTCTAACCTTGGTGTTGGTTGACAATTGTTTTGAGCTCCAGATGCTTTTCAGCTGTAAGTATGCTGCTCTTGCTTTGCCGATCAGCGCCCTCACATCTGCATCAGATCCACCGTGTTCATCAATGATGCTGCCCAGATATGTAAAGGTTTCCACATCCTCCAAAGCTTCTCCGTCAAGTGTAATTTGATTGGTGCATATTGTATTGTATCGGAGAGTCTTGCTTTTCTCTTTGTTTATATTGAGACCTACTGCTACTGAGGTTGCTGCTACACTGGTCGTTTTCTCCTGCATTTGTTGTTGCGTTTGTGATAGAAGAGCCAGATCATCCGCGAAGTCTAAATCGTCAAGCTGCATCCTGCCTGTCCACTGTATCCCGTGATTTCCTCCAGATGTTGACGTCTTCATGATCCAGTCGATGACCAGGAGAAACAGTAAGGGTGAGAGTAAGCAACCTTGCCTAACACCGGTCTTTACTTGAAACGAGTCGGCGAGTTGTCCTCCGTGGACGATTTGGCAGTTTAGTCCATCATAGGAGTTCCGTATGATGTTGACTATCTTCTCAGGCACGCCGTAGTGTCGAAGAAGCTTCCATAGTGTCGTCCTGTCCACGCTATCAAATGTCTTCTCGTAGTCGATGAAGTTGATGTAGAGTGATGAATTCCATTCGATTGATTGTTTCACAATGATCCGCAGAGTTGCGATTTGATCTGTGCACGATCTATCCTTACGAAATCCAGCTTGTTGATCTCGAATTTGGGCGTCCACTGAATCCTTCATCCTGTTTAACAATACTCGGTTGAAGACTTTTCCTGGTATTGAGAGAAGATTGATGCCCCTGTAGTTGTCGCACTTGCTGAGATCGCCATTCTTTGGTATCTTGATCAGAAGTCCTTTTTTCCAGTCTGTTGGTACTTGTTCTTCGTCCCAAATCTTACTGAAGAGGATGTGTATTATCTTGGCAGTTGCTGTTACATTTGCTTTCAGTGCCTCTGCCGGGATATTGTCTGGTCCCGCTGCTTTGCCACTCTTGACTTGACTAATGGCCATGCTGATCTCTTCAATTGTTGGTGGGCCAATATCGATTGGGAGGTCTGTGGGTGCTGCTTCGATGTTGGGTGGGTTCAGTGGAGCTGTTCGATTCAAGAGTTCTTTGAGGTGTTCTACCCACCTGTTTCGTTGTTCTTCAATGTCGGTGATTACTTTGCCTTCCTCGCTTCTCACTGGTCTTTCTGGTTTACGGTAATTTCCAGCGAGTTTCGTTGTTGTACCATACAGTTGTCTCACGTTTCCCTCTCTTACAGCCTTTTCCGCTGTCATTGCTAAATCTTCCACATATTTACGTTTGTCGGTTCTGATGCTCCTCTTCACTTGCTTGTTTGCCTCTGTGTATTCGGCTTGTGCCTTGGCTTTTTCCGCTCTGATTCGGCTGATATTGATTGCTGCCTTCTTGTTCCTTCTTTCTTCAATCTTATCCAGTGTATTAACAGTGATTCATTCCTTGTGATGGTGCTTCTTTTGGCCCAGAACCTCTTGACACGTTGAAACGATTGCCTCCTTGATACCTTTTCAGTTGCTCTCCATGGTAGTTCCCTCTCCATTGAGTAGGTCATGAAAGGCCTCGAACCTGTTGCTGAGGGCTATGTTGAATTTGTTGAGTTTGTCAGCATCTCGAAGAAAGGCCGTATTAAACTTTTGTGATGTTGTCTGCACCGTTGTCCAGTGCTTCTTGAGTTTTAGTTTCATCTTGGCGACCAGCAAATGATGATCGGATGCTATATCAGCTCCTCTTCTGGTTCTCACATCCTCCATCGTCCTCCTGAACTTTTTGTTGATGCAGATATGGTCGATTTGATTCTCACTTCTCCCAGAGCTCGGTAATTAAGTGTGATGTAATTGTTTCTCTCTGTGTTGCGTTTCAGTATCTTACATCTAACTTGTCCATAGATAATATTGAGGTCTACTGTTTCAACAGCTGCTTCTGAACTGGCTGTCTTCTCCTGCATTTGTTGTTGTAAGTATGTGTTACTGTTCCGATACATAACCCTTCTCACTTATCATGGGCTGGAACTACTTGTAACCATCGAAAGGCTTTAGGCATAGTTCTTCTAATAGTATAAATGCTCACAATTTAGCACTGAATGCGTAATCATCAGTTCAGTTGAACAAAATAAAATACAAGGAAAACATTCTGTCAAAAGAAGCTCTGCAGATATGATAAATATATAACTTGTTATATGCAAATATATGAATTTAGCTGAAAAAACATTATAGATGTTTTTGGTATACCTTGTTTCAGCGTTAATACTAATAATAGAATACCAACTTCAACCACACATTGTTCGACTGATCAATTCAACTATTTTTGCGAAAATGATAAAAACAATGATCACTACTAAAATTTTCTAGGCCTACGCGGATTTCGTAAAAAGATCTGCTTAATAGATAAAAAGAGTTCTGACGTCAGCAAACATAATGTCATAAAGAGGAAATTGTGTTGCATTCTACTGATCAAATAATTTCTGAAAATCCAACAGTATTATTATAAGCATGTAAAATTACATTTTATCTAACTTATTGATTTTAACAAGAACATATTTATTTACCACTGAAAAAGAATAAAATTTATACCACTTTAAAGATTAGACTGCATAACATTTAATAGTGTGTCAAAATTATTTGATAGACAACATTAATCAACACAATACTATTTGCACATAATAATGCAGTTCAATGTTGCTGTACAACTTATGAAGAATTGATTAATTATAATTCTGTAAATCTATTTATCATGTCACTTGTATTTGTGATGGATGAAGTATGCAAAGTTACTTCTTTTGCACATGATTTATTGATCTAAATCAAACAGCTTCACAAGCTCATTTTTATTGTTTTCGTATGAATAAAAAGCTTTATCTAACAATGTTTAGAATTGACTACAATTTGTGAAACTTTTGCCACAATTTGCACTGAAATTTTATTCAAAAGATTAACAATCTTATCAGTAAGGCAATCATGCACTTATCAATACATTATATAAGGTAAAAGTTTGTTGTGAAAGTATTGATGTATTCGTAAAGTTGAACAAAACGAAGTCAGTAACTTTTGTTGATTTTGTCCAAATGGTATGAGGCTTCTGAATCCAAGTAATCTAAATAGTGTGGTCATTTGAGTCTTATTAATTTGAAAAATATTATTGAACAACTCGTTCATGAATAATAAGAACATCTTTCACTAGTTGAATGGTTTTACTGAAACTTAAGAAGTAGGTACTTGTCTGACTGATTTTATTGTCCAACATTATATTTTATCTAAAACCATATCTTGCATTAAAACAGCATACATAAAGTTATTCAGAAAGATATTTTGTTGAAAAACAATGCTTTTGAACAGATTTTTTAATTTATTCTAAAACCCAAAAACTAATTTCTCACTATAATAAGTTGAAATTTAAGAGTTTACAGTAATCAAAAGGAGCTGTTCATAGTGTTTACTGCGTCTATTTATTTATAGGATATCAGTAAGACACTTAATCAGAGATTTTAAACAAGTTTATAAAATGTTCAAACTTGGGATAGTATAAGCGTAAAAACCACACTACTGTTATGCTAGCTTAAAGTATGTATTGAATAACTCAATGATAAATACATTCGTACAGTTCAAACTGTTTATGTAGACTGTATTCACTATTAATTGAACCAATGGTAGAGTTGCAAATGACAAATCAAAGTCATTATGACATTTATTTTTATAACTTACATCGTTGATACACTTGTGAACTAAATTTTCAGCTTCTTGCATAAGATTTGATTGAAGTATAAAAGCGTATTGACTAGCTGATATTAAAATACTATTTGCACTTTTTACCAATGACGGTAGAATATTTTGTAGACCAAACTGTAAAGTAGACAGATTTCGCATATTGTCTTCTCTTTGTAATTGCATATTAACAACAGCTTGCTTGGCAAAAGAATTGATTTAAGAAAAGAGTATTAATATCTGTATAGCATAGAAATGAAATTTCTGTTTTTGTATTCATACTTAATTGTATTATTAATAGAAATTAATCACTGAAAGCTGTCACTGGTTTTAGAAGTTGATTTACTGATTATTATTATTATTATTATTATTATTATTATTATATCCTAATACAGGCTACGGATAAAAAATAGGTGTATGATTTGTAAATGTTCAAATGAAAATTACATTTCATAATATACAAACTTAAATAATGAGCAAATGATAAGCAATGTATTTCTTAACAAAGGATGGTAAACAATTTTTAAGATAATGTATAGGTTTATGTAGTTACTTAATTAAGATAATCCTAGAAAAAAATTACTCCCAAGAGACTCACCCATAATTTGAACGTTATCGATAAGCGTTACTCTGTTAATTATGTCACATAAGTCAACTCAATTTTGATTACTTATTGTTTCAGAATTTATGTTCATAATCAGTTATCAAAAAGATGTATGCATAGGAGACTCATCGTCTTAAATCATTGAGTATTTATTGTAAACTAAGTTGACGGTAAGCTTTTCTGTATAATTTTGTCTAACACTAGTGAACATTTATCAAGTGAGAGTTTACTTTTTTAGTATTGTTAGTAATCACTTTTATTTATTTTAAGTATAGTAAGCCAGAAATTGAATTTTCGACAAAGTAGGGATAAAAATGAAACTGCTATGACAACATTTATTAACAGAAGTTTAAATGTTTGCAAAATACGTATTTCAGTGAGTAAAACAATTATAGTTCTGTCGATTCCTCTGACTCTCTTTGACTACAGTCAGCTTGTTTTGACCAGTGAATAGTGACTTCGTAAAAATAAATTGCTTTGAATTAAAACGAATATATATAAATCGGGTCAAATTTCATACTACCCATTATTTCGTTTCTAATCGAGATAAATATCATTTAATGAATTTAAACAGAATATGGTTGCAATCATGCGACTGTAAACTAAATCTACTAATGAGTGAATATAATTATGTTGAATAAATAAATAGCTCAACATGGTAGGTAATCAGTTTACTCAATATATGGTCTCAGAGTTAGTGATAAATGTAACCAATAAAAAATGATCTGGTAAGTTGATTAGCAAAGTGGTATATTCCCACTACTTCTATGCGTAATACGGTCACAAATCCCAAGTAACCATGAGTATTAAAGGCGAGTTAATTAGTACTGAAAGAAAACTCTATAACGGAATTTAAGTGAACTTTATAACGTTGATTGGTTTTAAACCAAACCTTATTTTTATTTATATTCTTTTAGAAAAATATTTTTCTCAGGATAAAATCGACTTATTGTTATAGGATTAGGTATAGAAAATGCACAGAAAACTAAGTACTAACTTTTTGAGTTTCCCTGTGTACTTTATTACTTCTCCGTATAAACCATCAAATTACCACTTCTCATACATGCGACTCAGTCATACTTGTATTTTATTGAAACAATCCCAACTGAGTTTCAGTTTGTGATTCTTAATATGAATATATAAGGGAAAAATAACCTATCAATTGTGTGACAGCATACTATAAGCTGAAACTTTCACCGGAACAACATACGCAGAATCACTGGAATTCCTTAAATAATACACCAGAAATCATGTTATTCAGTATGATTTCATTGACTAGTAACTTTTATAATTTGAATTGTTAACTTTGGTTTTAAGTGTATCTTTTATACTATATAAACAACATATATAAGTAAAGAAAAATTCATAAATAACCTATCCTAATCGATTATTTTTATTTATTATGTTCTTTCATCTTCCAGCAGGATGTGATGTTATATTTACTGATGTCCTGTAAAATGAAAATGTTTAATATCCTGACTACAAAAAGTGACCAGATATGTAATTATGATATTACACTTTATTTTACAAATCATAAACTATTAAAAAGAAAGAGACTTGCAAATTATAGTATTTCGACTAAACATTTCACGAAAAATTCTCATACAATGTGAAGCGACAGACATATGTAAAGTTATTCGTAAAAAATGATATTTTTTTGATTAAACTTACAATATTTTTATGGTTTTTCATTGAAGCTTCCATTAAAACAATGTTCAATTCTGTATTATCGTATTTATCCAAAAGACGCTTTGAAATATTTATCAATTTTTTCAATTCACTTAGACGATTAAGTACATTGGATGACATTTTTCTCATCTGTAATACATGTTTATAAAAAAAACTGAAGTGTACAATATATTAAACGTTCTACTTCTGGTTCATAACGTAATCAATTAAATGCTTACTTAATTACCCTGTTAACGCTCATGGATGAGCGTAGGTCGTCCACCAACATTCTCCATCCAACCCTGTCCTCGGTCACCCTTCACAGTTGCCATCCATTCTTTTCATGTCTGTTTCAATTTCCCAAAGCAATGTGTTCTCTGATTTTCCTCCTTCCGTTTCCCCTCAGCATTCTAATTTAGCACTCACCTCGTCATGCAGTTTGGTGATTTCCTCAGTGTATGTCACATACACTTCAAACGTGTTCTCCTACTTTCCTCTTCAGATGAAAGTTCGTTCGTTCTCTCTCACAGTAAATTGTTGCTGATGGTATCCGACCAACGAACATTGAGTATCTTGAGTAGACAACTGTTTATAAATACCTGTTTCCTCTTGATGATTGTTGTGGCAGTTCTCCAAGTTTCAGCTCCATATAATTGAACTGTCTTGGAGTCTGTAATTAAGATTCTGAATTCGGTATCAGCTTACATACAGTTGTCTTGGGTTCCATGTGTTCTTCAGTTTCAGGAATGTCGTACTTACTTCATCAATCCTCGTCTTTACGTGTGCATCAGATCCTCCTTGTTCATCGATTATGTTGTCCAGCTATTCGAAAGTTTCCACATTTTCCAAAGTTTCTCCATTGAGTATGATTGTGTCGGTGATCTCCGTGTTGTATTTGAGGAGGTTGCTTTTTCTCTTATGCATGGTGAGGCTACTTCTATGGAGTATGCTGCTACACTGGTTATCTCGACCTGCATTTTTTTGTGTGTATGGGATGGAAGAGTTAAGTCATCTACGAAGTCCAAGACGTTTAGTTACATTCAAACTGTTCATTTTATTCCGTGCTTCTCCTCAATTGTGGAGGTTTTCATGATCCAATCAACCACCGGAAATAAGAAGAATGGAGGAGAGTAGGCAACCTTGTCTGACACCTATCTTTGTTTTTAACGTATCTGTCAGACGTCCTGCTTTCACGACTTTGCAGTGTAATCTGTCGTATGAATTACGTATGACGTTAACGATTTTCGCTGACACAGCACAGTGTCTAAAACGATTCCATACACTTCGCCGATCTACACTGTCCAACACTTTATTATAGTCAAGGAAGTTGACGTATAGTTATGACTTTTATTCAATTCGTTGCTGCACAATGATGGTCCGTATTGCACAGCATAATGAGATGTGATTATTATGTAATTTTAAACCAAGTATATTTCAGAAACCATCGGTTGACATATCTGACTATCTCCAATTATAATGATTTGCTGTCACTCATGCACAAAAGATAATTCAATCAAATTACCTAGAAGTAATCATGTTTTTTATTTAAAGTCATACAGGACATCTAAATATTTGTTGTTGTCGCCGGCTGTCGTGAAATTTCAAGGCTTTAGTTATGACCTTTTTATTTGATAGTGAGTGCATATCCAATAAAGTGTCTTCATCCGTAACGAAACAGCTGTCTAATGTTTCCATATCTGAAGCAATTGCTTTACTGTCTTCAGTGTAATATACATTAGATCTCTTACTGATAAAATATAGATCGTCAGTCATAACGAGATGAATGTAAACAAAATAAGAAATACTAATATTATGGGAAAATAAAAATAAAGTTTTATTAATCAAATTCGATTATTTAAAAACCTTATTCGGAATAATTAGATAAGGTAAAGAACTCATTCAGTTTAATAATATTATGAATACTTTACTAAAATCTTTTCTTATTTTGAAGTATAATTCAGTGATGACCGATGTTTAAATGTCCCACAAATCAGAATTAAATAGGATAAAAACTTAACTGAAAATTGTTTTAAAAATTACAAAATTAACTAAAACTGAGCATTTGATACGATTAATGTTATGTTCATCAAAACTTAAACTCAGATACATATAACTAATAAGCCTTTATATAGTATATAATACAAGTGCTTAAATTCACTGTCAAGTTTTATTTAACATACAATCAATTTGATAATACATTTTAATAGAAAATATAATTTACTGAAGAAACTATATAGAATTATGAAGATAGTGTTATGCATAGCTTACATATATATCATCCATATAATGAATTAATGTATCAAATGCAATTTCATAGTTTATTATTAGATCGACAGGTAATTCATTTGATGAACAATTATTTGTTGGTATATCAGGATGAAGTTTGATTATGCTTTGTTGTAAAAATGTTTTTTTCATAAAACAGATAAAGTCTTTATGTGCCAATATAAATCTCTATAAAATATTTTTAAAAAAACAATAATTAAAATAATTTAATATTTTAAAGTGAGGAATTTGGAAAACAGAATTCAAAACTGAATTATTAAATTTCTATGCCTAGAGTTATCTGCTAATAAAATGAATTTGATTGAGGAACATTATATTCATGGATATGAAAACGTAGCCGTTTATCGTTTGATGTTAGTTGGTGAGGAATTATTGATAGTTCAAAATGAATCATGATTTTGCAATAGGGACAAATTATATATTTTTCTAACGTATTCAAGAATATATTACCCAATGTTTTTGAGTACTTTAAGTGTAATTTAGTCATCTGTAAAATGTATAATAAGTGTGCTGATGATTATATTTTAGTTCATAAATAGTACTTATATTAAATGATTGTAGGTTACCAGTAAAGTTATTTAGAGATTTTAATTATTATCTTTAACTATCATTAGCAAGATTTTGTTTGGTAATTCACAATAAATGGAGCACTGAGTAAATTGTATGTTAGAAAATGAAAAAGTAATCCTTTATACTAAAACTTCTGGTTTAAAAGAAACTCTTGTAGATCATTTAATCAAACTATTTATTGTTAACTGATACATACAGATTAGTACGTAGAACTTAAATCTGAGTATTAACATAGTGAGAAACTTTATCGTTTACCTCAACTCATTTAAAAGAGCAATGAAAGTTGCTAAAATATAAGGCGAATAAAATGCCAAAAGTGGAAAATCGGAAAGACACACAAGTACTAGTGTCGAGATTTTAACTTATACTCAAGGTAAGTTTAAAGAGCTACCGTGAATTGTAAGATAATATAGAATTAAAGCTTATGATATTAACCCAACACTATGAAAGTGCTTCATGCCGAATGAAAGACAGAATCCCTTGTCAGTATAGAATCATATCTTCAGATTGATTGTATTCATTGTAGTGCATTTTATATTCTAAAGCCATCTCGTGAAATCTTGATTTTCCTCAACGAACATTTAAACTACGCAAGAAGATCGGGTAATTATCCAACTTGGAACTTAATGAGTCCAACCAGTAGCGGTATTAAAGTTCCTAATTTGCGATACTGCCTAGCGGTCATTCATAGTTATACGTATTAACAAGCAAAACAAAATGACAATATACAAAATACTATACTATTGTTGGAACACCTTTTATCATCAGTAAAGCAGAATCTAATATAGAATTTTGTTTAATAACAAGCACATGAAATGATACTTTACTAACAATAACTAAATATCGCATCGGTGTATTTAGTGCTTTTTACCATGTCTGTTCATAAATTTGACACTTTTACAACTTGAGAACATTTTTTTATTTGTGACTATATACATATCATATGTTTAATTGTTTTTCTTAATTCAGGAAAAAGGGTAATTACCGAAAACATGAAATACGTGGACCTCCAATGAAGGATAAAATAAAGAAACTCGAGATTTTGTTGTTTTAAGGTTTGTTTTATTTAGCCAAAAAGAAGCATTTTTTAATCAAAAAGTGACATCAACTAGAAAGCAAATAAAACAGATACTTTTCCAAGTTCAAGAAGCCACAATACTGGAACACGGAAAGCATAAAAATGTTTAGTCACAAATTGAGCATTCTAAGAATACTTTTTTATCCCAGACGTTTTATATAATCATGGATAATTGCCTTGTTCCTTACGTGATTGAATGTGAGATCTTACCTGAGTTCTCTTACTTCGAGACTCAACAGCACTCTGTAATGATGCACAAGATTTCTCGATATGATTTATGGCTTCTCGTTCTGTTAGAAACTTTTGTTGAATCTGTTGACAAACGAAAACAACAATAGAAAAAAACAATGCAACTGTCGATTAAAACAATGGTTGTCTAGGCAAGAAATTAACTCCGGTTCAATGTAAAACATTATGTATTTTCGGTTTGAAATCAAAAATATTTCATACTAGTGTTTGAATACCTGGAAAATAACTCCTTTAAAACGAATCTTTAGGTAGTGGCCAAATTTATGGTTTAGTTTAGCGTCGATTAGATGTTAAATAATCTCTTTGGAATATGAACTTTTATATTTGTCTGTTTACTTGACTCTGGTTGCACTCTATCGATCCCTCTGCACTGCTGCCACTAGCAAATGTAAGTCTTAGTGTTAGGTAGTTGAAGGTAGTCTGAAGGAAAACTTAAATATAAGTTCTGTCTTAGTTTGTATTCACCACCAGTATTTCTCTGTTATCGTTGACAAAGCGATATTACCCTATGGATTTGAACTGCACTATTCAGCATCACGTGTATACCGCAATAATTAAAAAGCCTAAGTAAATTTTTCAGCCGATGCATTTACTGAAAACCCAGAAATCGGATTTTCTGTCTAGAGTAGTGGAATTGATTGAGCATTTTGTGGTTCCAGATATCCTGAGAATAATAGAATGTAATTTAGGGAATTTCAAATGACTGTCTTCAAATATTTAATATATTCCATTGAGCTGTCAAATGATTTAAACTCCCCCTGTAGCTCTTCTAGAGTTACTGCTGGTTCCAAGCCCGAGTAAACGAGGAGGGTTGGGCACGGGGTTAGCCACCCCAACCCGTAGAAAAACTAACTCGTTAAAAAAACACTAACCAGGAAAAATAATTCAAACGTTCTAAACTCTACCCTGGAAGTTGAAGGAAGAATTATGGCGCCTCATGATGAAAGCCAAGATTTTTCGGAGGTCACGAGGCCGATGCCCCTTCTTACAACCAGAGCAACAATCAAAATGGGTAAAAGGAACGTCCGGACAATGTGGTAGACAGGGAAGACCTGTCAATTAGCAATGGAATTGAAGAGATACAAATTGGCAGTACTCGGAATCAGTGGAACCCATTGGGCACAAGCTGGACAACAAAGTCTAGGTACAGGAGAGATGCTGCTGTACTTCGGTCAAGAAAGTAAAAATGCTCTTTACGCTTGGGGAGTTGATCTAATGCTGTACAGAGAAGCACGTAATGCACTTGTAGGATTGGAATCTCATGGATCCAGAATTATCAAAGCATCATTCGAAACAAAGAAGGAGGGGATCACAATGAACGTTATCTAATGTTATGCACCCGTCAATGATAGCAATGACGACGATATAAATCAGCCCTATGAAAGGCTGCAATCAATTATAGCTAAGTGCTCAAGAAAGGGTCTCATCATCCTAATGGAAGATCTAAATGTTAAAGTCGGAGTGGACAACACAGGATATGAAGATATAGTGGGACGACATGGACTGGGAGAGGGAAATGAAGATGGGGAGAGGTTTGCAAATTTATGTGCATTCAACAAATTGGTTGTAGGTGGCACAATATTTCCACACAAACGCATACACAATGCTAAATGGATCTCACCGGACTACATCACAGAGAATCAGATAGATCATATTTGTATCACTAAAAATTTCTGAAGGACAATGGAATATGTGAGAACAAGGAGAGGAGCCGACATAGCTTCAGATCACCACCTGGTTGTGGCCAAGATGAAACTGAAGCTAAAGAAACGCTGGATAACTGGACAAACAGCACTACAAAGGTTCAATACAGCCTTCCTTCGAGATACTAACATACTTAACGAATTCAAGATAACTTTCAACAACAGGTTCCAAGCTCTACAGGATCTACTGAAAGAACAAGAAACTACTTTGGAGGACAACTGGAAAGGGATTAAAGAAGCACTATTTTCAACGTGTTAGGAGGTTCTGGGTGGCAAGAAGCATCATAATATGGAATTGATCTCTATGGGAACCCTGCACAAGATTGGAGAAAAGCAGAACAAGAAAACAGCAGTGAACAACAGTCGAACACGAACAGAGCAAGTCAAGGCACAAGCAGAATACGCAGAAGCGAACAAGCAAGTGAAGAAGAGCATTAAAGTCGACAAGCAGAAATACATAGGTGAACTAGCAACGACAGTGGAAAAATCTTCAAGAGAAGGGAATATGAAACAACTACATGATACAACGAAGAAGCTAGCAGGCAGATATAGTAAACGAGAGAGACCAGTCAAGGACAAAGAAAGAAAGACAATCACGGAGACTGAAGAACAGAGGAAAAGATAGGCAGAATACTTTGAGGAACTGCTGAATAGCACAGCCCCGTTGAGTCCACCGGACATCGAAGAAGCACACACAGACCTTCCTATATCTGTCACTCCACCAAAGATCGAAGAAGTCAAGAGAGACATCAAATAAATCAAGAATGGGAAAGCGACAGGACCTGACAATATAGTAGCCAAAGCACTGAAGTCAGACATTGAAGTAAGTTCAAACATGCTTCATGTTCTATTCAAGAAGATTTGGGAAGAAGAACAAGTGCCAACGGACTGGAAAAAGATACCTCATCAAGATACCAAAGAAAGGTGACTTGGGCAAATGTGAGGGTCACAGGAGCACCACACTATTGTCAGTACCACGAAACGTTTTCAACAGAGTGTCGCTGAACCGGATGAAAGACGCAGTAGACGCTCAACTTTGAGATCAACAGGCTGGACTCCATAATGACCGGTCGTGCACAGATCAAATAGCGACAGTACGGGTCATCGTTGAACAATCAATTGAGTGGAATTCGTCACTATACATCAACTTCATTGACTGTGAGAAGGCGTTTGATGGTGTGGACAGGAGAACATTATGGAAACTTCTTCGACACTATAGTGTTACTGAGGTGATTGTCAACATTTTCCAGAACTCATACGACGGACTACAGTGCAAAATGGTGCATGGAGGACAGCTGACAGATGTATTTCAAGTGAGAACCGGAGTCAAACAAGGCTGTCTACTCTCCCCCTTCCTCTTTCTTCTAGTGATTGACTGGATTATGAAAACCTCAACATCTGAGGGGAAGCACGGAATACAATGGACATCTCAGGATCAATTAGATGATTTGGACTTCGCAGATGATCTGGCTTTTCTATCTCATACACAAGAACAAATACAGATGAAGACAACAAATTTAGCAGCAGCCACTGCATCAATAGGCCTCAGCATACACAAAGGAAAAAACAAGATTCTCAAATGCACCACGGAGAACACCAACCCAATCACACTTGATGGAGAAACTCTGGAAGAGGTGGAAACATTCACGTACCTGGGAGGCATCGTTGATAAACAAGGAGGATCGGATGCAGATGTGAAGGCGAGGATTGGCGAAGCAAGTACAGCATTTCTACAACTGAAGAACATATGGAACTCAAAACAACTGTCAACTAACTTCAAAGTGAGAATCATCAATACGAACGTCAAGACAATCCTACCGTACGGAGCTGAAACGTGGAGAACTACCACAACTATTGTCAAGAGTGTAAAAGTATGTGAAAACAGTTGTCTACGCAAAATACTCAACAAGAACTGGAAAGGGTCGTCCAGGACAGAGTTGGATGGTAAATGCTTGTGTGCGGCCTATGCTCCTCGACGAGGGGTAACAGGCTTAAGTAAGTATCGAATGATGTAACCAACCTTTTGTGTTGCAGATTCGATTAATAGAATTCATTTCGTATTTTGGTCTTGTACTAGAAACTGTTTGACTGTTGAGAAAACTACTACTTAAAGGCAATCTTACTTTACGAGTAGCTTCAGAGCCCGAGCTACGTGCAGCCATTGCTATTATTCTTTTAGTGCTCTTGTCAACTAATTGAAATAGAGAATATTTTCGCGTTTCTTCAGAAACACTGGCACCTATAAATGGTAATGAAAATAAGAACAATAATGCTAATAAAATTCTTGTGTTAAATGTAATTTGTATTATTATGTATAATAATGGCTAGTTTATAATAAGTTTACTCATAAATTAAACAGACACTCTATTTAAACAAATACAAGATTTCTGATATATACATTTAACGGCACAGCTATTATAAGTCAACTGTTTACCAATAATTACTTCGTAAACACAGAGGAGTAAACACTTTGTTGTTACTTTATTAAATTGTGAAAGTTACAGTTTTAGATGAATTATGATTTCGCAGGATGGATTACATGTTGCAGAATAAAGAAGGGCTAACACTTTAGTTTCAAAATTTTGTAAACTCGTAAAGCGTACTTAAAACCGGTAAACGTAATTGGTCTCGTGACAATCATATACGTGTACACTTTTAGACAACTATAATCTATGTACTAGGAACTAGTACACAATTTCATACAAAATGACATTATAAGTTTTAAAGCTTCTTAGTTGCATTTTAAGATTAAATGTCATACCTTGCATAAATACAGTTATTTAGGTGTTAAGAGATAGTCCACGACATAAATATTGTCAAAATATTCACAATGTTCAATGATTATATGTTTTGCACAATTACTTAAGTGAATTCTTATTACATTCATTTTACACCTTCATTATAATATGTAGTTTAAAAATAAACAGTTGATATCATGTTATAACGTACCCCCTGAATAACAACTGTTGATATTTTTATAATACAATATGACTTTAGTTCTGAAGCTAAAACTATGTTCAACCGTATAATCGGTGGAGTTAAAAATTGAATAGTATATACGGACATCAAAATTATTATAGTTTAGTAAATGACAATTAGTGCTTGATCGTTTTGTTCCTCGTGGAAAAAAAATTGATTTCTGTGTAATTTCTGACGAAAGTATCTCTTCGTTCAAATATTTCATAGGTCTGTAAGGATAAATAAAATTGTTATATTCGGAATTAATGCTTGATTACGGTATATGAGGTAAGTGCTGATACTAGATAAACACCAGCTTCCTTGAGGTTTCAGATGGTCCGAAGGCACAAGATCTAAAGTTGTTAGAATTATTCGATGGTAGCTTTCCACTCAAAAAGGAGTTGAAATTCAACCATTCACCTTTTGAACTTCAGTCGATTTAAGTTATACCCAATTGATTGTCTGTTGTCATAAGTGATCCTAGTATCTTTTTTGATATGGTTGTTTTGTTTCAAAACACTGATCGGTTCGTGATATTCTCATTATATATTCATATTTAACTATAAATATTTAAAATCAAGCTGTTTGACAGTCGATCGTGTAAAAATTTGTTTAGATATAATATAATATTATATTAAAAAGAAAAATGTAACTATAGGATACATGTAAGTGTTAAACAATTTGAATGAATACTTACAAATCTCTTTCCATCGTTTGACTTCATTCACGTCATAGGCTAATTGATCAAAGTTGTTGAACATCTGCGTAGTTGCTAAACAGTCTGGATGATTTATTGGTGTTACCTATATATCAAACAAAAAATAGTTGTATATATAATTTTTTGACTGATGTCGTGTTTATGATGACTACTTACTTACTGTATAAACATTTTCATACAGTCACATAATGACACAAAAACCATAGACTCGTTACTAATTAGCTTTAATATACTCGAACAAATATTCTGATACAGAACTGTGACATATAGAGTAGTTAGTTCACAGTAGATTTTAGATAAAAACTAACCTATCCTATAAAAAATGAATATTGAACATGATAAATGTTGTGTTTACTTACAATATATTTTAAATCTTAAATGTTGTATTCAATTTCCCACAACAAGAATTGAAGATATCGACGCTATATTATTGAGTAAAGGTTAATTCCTAATATGTCTCGTTTACGTTTACATATAAATCTATACTAGAATATTTCATGAAAAACCGAGTAGAGGCTGAGAATAATATTAACCAATGAATAAAAGATACTTATACAAAGGAATAGTAGAAGAAATCCTTTGGAATCTGTATAATGTACCACAAACTATCTATATTATAAAGGATTTGCTCCCAATAACTTTTAATTGTCATATACAGGTTATCAACAAGGATAAAGTCCGTATTATTTGTTATTCTAATAGATGAATGCCACAAACGTTTTCAAAATCCTTACTTTTTGTAACTTGACTAGAAATTATAACTAGGTCACAAGGCAGACAGATTTAAAATTAAGTTTAAAAAGAATAGTATAACAGCAGGGTATGTGTTACTGATTTCCCAAGTAAATAAATTCAATGAATTAATGACTGGACGGAAGTTTTGTTTTATAACACATCTACCATATTAGCTCTCAAACAATATCAATACAAATAGATAGGTGGATGAATAATAGGTTTAAGTGAATAATGCCGATAGTTTATAATACTGTGTAGTTTCGTTTTATCAATAGACATTTGATGTAGAAGCAGGAAAATTCATTTAGAACATTTATGGAGGGTAAACATTACTTTCCGAAGTTAAAAAACATGAAATTACTTCAGTCAGTAGGAAATACTTTTGTCAGAAAATCTAATTTATCACAAAGCAATGTATGAGTAAAAATCCATGTAGCATTCTACTTAAAAAATACATTTTTATTTATAAACAACAGTTGTCATTTTCTTATGATCAATATTACTTATTGATAGATAATTGAATGATTGTAGCCCTCAATTGCCCTGGTACAGTCAAGAGTATGGTGATTCAGTCCTCCCGCTCCAAATGCTCTCACATGGCCACGCGTATAAAGCCACTGCCATGGAAGTCCTGACCGCTGCCTTCTCACGGCGAGAGTATTGTTTACAAAATCGAGAGAACGAGAAGCAAATATCTGGAGCTTTGACCGGGTCATTGGTTATGGAAGATCCACATAGGGGAGTTGGAAAACCCTGATTCCAAATTAACGATTCACAAAGGCCCCAGGATTCTGAGGGAATAAAAGGCGTACGAACCTATTGTTGATCACCGGTTACCGTGGGACTGCATATCCTAACGTTGCTCCACTGTCTGATGGATCAGATCTCCAAGTGAAAGGCTCGGGGAGTGGCCTTCTAGGAAAGTCACCTTCTTCAATTTGAGGGTCCGGTTGGTATACCAGCCCTCACACAAATCGAATGATTTGTGTTGTGCATATATTTTTGGCAACTCATTATACCAATGTTTATGTGTTTAAATAATAAATATTTTTTAAAAAGTAATCTCTTTAAAATACAAAAATAATTAATTGCTAGAAATGAAAGTATTAAATCAGCTGACTGCAAACATACACTATTTTTTCTAGTCTGAATAATATGAGTGTTAAGTGGGTTTTTTAAGCTTCAGTTAAATGACATGAACGAGAATCAATTAATGGATATAACAGATTACTTATATAAATATTTACTCTTGTATACGAACTCACATCTTTCAATAATTCAAACAGTTGTTTTAGCTTAACTAATCTTTGAACAGGTTTAATTAATTCATCATTTAAAGTCAATATATTTGGACGTTCACTTTGTAGATTTTTGAAACCAAGCACTGAAAACGCTTGAATTTCTGGATTCTGAAAAAAAACACTAATTTGAATACACAGATAAAATAACTGAACTAATTTTCTATCGTTTCATAGGTATGTCACAACCTCCTTCCAAAAAGAAACAGAAATATAAGTGTAACTTGAATTGATGTTGAACTTTGTTTAGTAGATTATGTTCATTCGTTATAGTATTTTTTAGTTGTTCATGAAACTTTACAAACTTTCCATATTAAGCTCTGTGCTACCGATTCATTTACACTATGGTAACTAGTTATTTTTCTAATAACTGATAAACTATGGATCTTACTGTGTTACATTTTAGTGGGTTATTTTCATGTACTGATTTGTAAGGACGTCAAATATTATGCGACATAATACAAGTTTTTAAAACGCGGTTGTTTTATAACCTATATATAGCATTAGATAGTTCACAATTTCTATGTCAATCTTTTATCAAAAATACGACTAATGGTATAAATCAATTATCTCATCGAAACTCAAACACATATTTAAATTGTTACACAATACATGTTGAAGAATTGTGTTTTTAATTTATTTATGAGACTCAAAAAGAGAACAAATGTTACTAATCAATATATCGATCAATGAATAACAGTAATTAACTAACCTTTGTGGAAGCATCTACTGAAAAATTTAAGATATACGTCTTCAACGCTTCATTCATAGATAATCTGAACGAATTTATACATTTAGCTAATTAAAAGAAATGCAGAAGTTGTATCCACAGTCGCATACAAAAAAAATCAATTATCTTAGTTAACTGTTTTGACCAACATATACATGCATATGCAAATATATATATATATATATATATATATCACATGTAGTAAGGCTTCGTATAAAAACATTATCTTATTATAAGTTTAGCTAATAGATATAAACTGCACATATAATCTCAGTCAACAATGATTAGCCTAAAAACGCTAACTCAGGTAATGGAAACATAATATTTCTGAATCAACAAATCATTCCAACTATCTTCATGTTAATTTTCATACTTCCAAAAATAATTTTAAACATCGATTTATTCATTAATATCCTAGTCTTTGTGCTTGTCGTGTAAATAAGTATTACACATTACGAGACTATTACATGACCTTTTACTGGTATCATGATCTTCTTTATGCCTTCAACAATTATATATATATATATATATATATATATATATATATGTAGACTTCAGATAAATACCAAGCTATATTTGTTTAAAAAAGCTCCTGGAGTTGAATGAAATCCGAGAACCTAAACATTATTCTCTTTAAACGGTATAAACGATTTCCGCTAATATAATTTTCGGCTTTAATGATAAAAACGTACGGAGATAAACCTGGTAAATTTTCTTCAGCTGCTCCCTATAGTTTTTCTCAACAAAGTGATAAGATCAAAACGGTTTCATCATAACGTATGCTCACAGGAATGAATTCATTTGTTTTACATTTGTAAGCCTACTATAAAATTACCGTAATCACTGCAAGGATTATCCCGAATGCCTATAACATGACAGTATCTGAAGTATATATTTTATTGACAATGTTGTATTACACATTCAGCTGTTGTGAAGATATAACATTTCCAAATCGGGTAACTTTAAATAAGATATATAAAAATGCATGTGCTAACTAACATCTTACCGATACAAGCATTACCAAGCTGGTCATTAGTATATTTAGATATTTCTTTTTGTAACGCCATTGAAATATCATCAGAAACACGTACCAATTGATCCAAATTTCCCAATAATAAATATCGATTAGATTCAGTAACCTGATTTTGTATACACATACAGTGGAGAGGTAAATCATTGTTTTGCTCGGTGAAAATTTGTTGAAGTAACACTAAAGTAATGATCTAGGGAGTAGATTTCACACTTAATAATCGAGAACTTATTCCCAATGAAAGTTTATGTTTATATATACATATGTCTGCTGATTTTTTTAACAAGGAGACTAGCAAATATTTACTAGATCAATAATCTGTAAAGAATTAGGCTTAATTCATCTGTGATCGGAGAGCTTCATTATGATAGATAACTGAATGGAGTTTCCACTAATGAACGTGTTCTCATCTAAACTGTATCAATTTGATCATTTTTAATATCTATTCAACTCAACGTCAAAATAAAAATAAGCGGTATATTTAGCGTGATTACCACCTCTAGTTCAGTAATGAAACTTAAAACTGGTAGTGTTACTGTGATTCAGGATACTGTGTCGTAAGAGACTGAAAAATAACAAGTAACTAAAAATTAAACGTCCGATTGTATTAACTTTGGGCGTAAAATATGCACACAACCATGTTGGCCTAATTATTGTGGTAAAAACATTTAACTTTCTGTGGAATTATTAGTTCCATTTATGGGTAAGATGTCGATTAGCACGTAAAAAATATTAGATAAACTATCATTTTGTCATAAGTTAACCAATTTAGGCGGTTATGCGACCAGATCATTAAAAAACAGTAAGTTCGATTTATCGTCTGACAATGTGGATTCTCTTTTCTATGGGAAATAGGGGTTTTCAACTTTTCGAGATTTCTTTTAATCAACACAACATATCTTTATTTCTCAGATTGTCTAAAATGAATGTAACTGGTTTTTGCATACATACATGATTTTCTGAAGTTTTTGATATTCAGACGACATTGTAGATAATCTATGCTTAGCAGGTTAGTGTTGTTTTACTAAATTATCGTTTATACTGAAGAAATATATAAAAATATACAACATTCCTTTCAAAATCAAAATAGTTTTGTCAGTATCAGTAACAGCCGTTTTGTTTTCAAAATAGTATGAAGAGAAATAACGACACTAATTGTAAAGTTATTTTGTATAATTTTTGTAACTATTTTTAAGTCCGATGTCCAGAACACCGAAATGAAATCAGGCAATTTCAAATGTGAAGTAATGGATATTCAATCTGCATTGTAATCTCTGATGACGTTTAAAATTGTAATTTTTGGAAAAGTAATAAAAAGATTGTGAACAAAAAACAGGTAAAATAAGCAGTTTATTACCGTTAAACTAACAGAATCAAATGCAATCAAGACATTTTTCATATCTGACACAAAATCAGCTTGCGTTTTCACTAATTCTTTTACTACATGTTTTCTTTGTTTAAATGATGCTGATAATGATGTTGAAGCTGGCACAGATCCTGATATCGATACCGATGAACTTGAAGAAGCAGATGAACTAGGTTTTCTGGATTTACTACTAACATCGTCTTCATTATTTGTAGTCTCCTCGGGTAAAATGAATCCATAACTCAAATTGCAGCTTCGCATTGGTCTGTAATTGATATTATTGTCGGAAAGTTTGCTCACAACTTTTCGACTGTCTATTGTAATTGCTGGTAGACTCAAGCAAAATGAATGCGTTCTCTTTGACAGATCTATAAAACAGTTTTATATAACTATTTTTTAACTGGAAATGAAAATGTCACAATAATTAAAAATACAATTTCAAACCCAAAACTTGGAACAAATATGCTGAACGCATAAGCAAACTATGAAACATTATGGTGTAAGCAAAATTCAACTCATATTCTAGTTATGTGACATTTCAAAAGTAGTATATACGAATATATGATGGCGTTTTATGAGAAATCATAGTCATTTCTGGTCAAATACTTCTATTATATAAAACAATAATATTATTAACTTATAAATTGGTTGAATATTTATTGCAATATTATGTAACGTTAACATTATTAGACACCCAACTTTCAAATCAACAGACCGGATACCGTAAGGATCGATAGTGTACCGACCACTTCTTGACGCTGTGGATCATTGTGTAGCAACCAATTAAATAAAAGTTATCACTATACATCAACTTCCTTGACTATAATAAAGTGTTGGACAGTGTAGATCGGCGAAGTGTATGGAATCGTTTTAGACACTGTGCTGTGTCAGCGAAAATCGTTAACGTCATACGGAATTCATACGACAGATTACACTGCAAAGTCGTGAAGGCAGGACATCTGACAGATACGTTAAAAACAAAGATAGGTGTCAGACAAGGTTGCCTACTCTCCTCCATTCTTCTTATTTCCGGTGGTTGATTGGATCATGAAAACCTCCACAATTGAGGAGAAGCACGGAATAAAATGGACAGTTTGAATGTAACTAAACGTCTTGGACTTCGTAGACGACCTAACCCTTCCATCCCATACACAAAAACAAATGCAGGTCGAGATAACCAGTGTAGCAGCAGACTCTGGAAAATGTGGAAACTTTCAAATAGCTGGAAAACATCATCGATGAACAAGGAGGATCTGATGCACACGTAAGACGAGGATTGATGAAGCAAGTACGACATTCCTGAAACTGAAGAACACATGGAACCCAAGACAACTGTATGTAAGCCGATACCGAATTCAGAATCTTTAATACGAACTTCAAGACAGTTCAATTATATGGAGCTGAAACTTGGAGAACTGCCACAACCATCATCAAGAGGAAACAGGTATTTATAAACAGTTGTCGACTCAAGATACTCAATGTTCGTTGGTCGGATACCATCAGCAACAATTTACTGTGAGAGAGAACGAACGAACTTTCATCTGAAGAGGAAATTAGGAGAACACGTCGGAAGTAGAGATCAAAAGAATGGATGGCAACTGTGAAGGGTGACCGAGGACAGGGTTGGATGGAGAATGGTGGTGGACGACCTTCGCTCGTCCAGGAGGGTTAACAGGCATGAGTAAGTAACGTTAAAGAATAATAATCCTTCATTTCAGTTGATCAATAAATGAAGTAGAAATCCTTCATACCAGTTAATAGATTCATATTAATTAATAAATAGAAGTGCACAATGTGATATTACGTAGTGTGTAGCATCTCTGAGTAGTCAACAGTCACATGTTGTTAAATTCTCTAATCGGAATGAATAGTGTCACTAAGGTTTACGTACATGTTTTAGAATGCATGACTTCATAACAAAGTATAGTTTGTTGGATATACATTTTCGAAATTCATTGACAATAAGCCGTGTACGCAGCTTTTATTAATCAATGATAGTCAATATCTGTGGTCTACCGGTGAATTTGTGCAAGTTAATTCTGTACGGTGCAATTGGGCATTCGCAGATACCATATCTCCAATTGTTGAATGGGAACGCTGAATCCCATTTCTAAAAGGAAGGGGCAATAAACTTCACTGAAATTACAAAAAACACAGCTGATGAAGGCTAGTCAGTGAAAAAGCTAGGTCTAGAAATTTCTAGGGACTATCTTCTACTAGACACAATATTTTAAGGAATCTGCTTTCATTGTATTCGTCCAACCGTCCAATATATAAACTTTCTTAGATAAATATTCTAGAAAGATATTGATTATTTAAAGAAGTTAGCCATTCTTATGAATTTTGTTGGAACAATGAGAAAGGGAGTTGATCTAAAAAATGTGATTTATTTACGCTATACATTTTGAATAATCTGGTCACACATATAATCATCAAGGCATTTTATCTGAAAATTAATAAAGGTTAGTTAAATAAGAGTTCAAATAAACAAAATAATTATAAATAAAGAGAAGATAATTATAATCGCGTGGAAAGAATAGGCCATAAAATGGTTTGAAGATTACCAGGATAAATTCAAGGTTGCGACAAGTTGTTACTGTACTCATAAAGAAAGCTTTAATATGCGAATAGCAAAGAATTCTATAAACCCAAGAATTCATACTTGACAGTTTCTATACAAGGTTTTAAAAGGTGTACTAACGTTAGTTTTATCCTGTGTTTTGATTATATGTTTTGCTATCAATGAACATGGTTTACTACTTCCCATTTTTACCAGAGCACTTAGCACCAACTGTTCTGAAGCCATCTGGACAAATGTTTCATAACTTTTGACTGTGTTTTTCAACGACACCTACCTATATATTCATGTCCCCGAAAAAGTGTGAACTGATGTGATTGGATGTGACGAGATCGTGTGTGCTATGAACAGATCTATGTAGAATTATAAGCTCAGTTTTTTAATCACGATCAATTTAGCAAAGTAATATATTTACTCAATGACTGCGTTTATTTTTTGTCTCCAAGCCATACTGTTTGATTCTAATCTAAATAGTAAACAGTTATAAACCCTATTCTTTGCAGAAGAATTAAAGAGACGGTTTTGAGTTAACTGACGTTACACCTATTTATATCTAGGCTAACCAAAAGTCTACGGAACGATCGTGAGCAGTGGTGAGCAACAAAAGCAAAAAAAGAAAAACGCAGTCCGCTGCAGACGGCACCAGACAACTCTTAAGACTAATAAAAGAAACCGGAATTTAGAAGTCATTCGTAGGTGATGTAATCTCGGAAAAAAATGAGACTCTTATCTGCTCTCAGCCCAGACGTTTAGAACGATGGGCGGAACACTTTAAAGAGCAGTTTAGTTGGCTTTCAGCTACTCTACAGTTACCCACCATTCCCAAACAGTCTGAATGGAACATTGAAGTAGGTCCTCCAACTCTAGCTGAAGTTCAAAAGGCCATAGATAGTCTGAAATGAGAAAGAGCAGCTGGTTCTGATGGATTGGTTCCAGAGGTCTTTAAATTTGGTGGTCCAATTTTAGCGATTAGGTTGACTAATATTTTAGCTAAAATCTGGAAGTACAAATATATAAGAAGGGGTCAAAATCATCCTGTGATTACCATATAGGGATTAGTTTGACTAGAATAGCATCTAAATTATTGACCTCAATAATTATCGGGCGTTCAACAAAGACTCGTGAACTAAAAACACGAGAAAATCAAGATGGCTTCAGACATGGTCGTGGCTGCATCGAAAACATATTCACCATTCGCCAGACCTTCGGACACAGGCATGCTTACTGACGTCAGAGGATGACGGCTTCCCTTGGCTTAAAGGAAGCATTTAACTCTGTAGACCAAGAGGTCCTGTGGCAGTGTCTATCATTGAAAGGTGAACCCCAGAAGTACATAAACCTTGTGAAGGCTCTTTACTCGATAACTACTAGTCGAGTGAGAGCTTATGGTGAACTGTCTTCTGATTTTACAACCTAAAGTGGTGTCCGGCAAGGCTGTCTATTATCCCCATTTTTGTTTAACTTCATCATAGACATACAACTGGAAATAACTCTCCCGTCGACTGAATTTTCAGGAATTGATCTCCTTGCAGGAGATCCACTTATCGACTTAGATTAAGCAGATGACGTAACCTTGTTTGGTGAAGACGCTGATAAAATGCAGAGTGTTTTGGTAGCATTGAGAAACAATGCTAGGATGTTTGAGATACGTTTCTCCGCCTCTAAATTCAAAGTTTCGCTTCAGAACTGGACTGCGTGAACACCTGAACTAAGGATAAGGAGTGGAGTAGTCTAACACGTCGACAACTTCACTTATCTTAGAAGTCTGGTCAGCCCTAACGGGTTAGTGTTCGACGAAATCTCAGCACGGATTCAAAAAGCTCGTTTGGCTTTTGCCAACTCACGTCACCTATGGCGAAGACGAGATATCCATCTATCAATTAAGAGACGAGTATACTGAGCAGCGGTTCGTTTTGTTCTAGTTTACGGCTGTGAAACATGGCCATTAAGAGTAGAAGATACTTGTAAGTTACTAGTATTCGACCACAGATGTCTGAGAAATGTTGCTCGTATCTGCCGAGATCACTGGGCAAGTAATAGTGAGGCTAGACACAGGGTATTAGGGAATGACTGTAAATCAGTTGATGAGGTCATGAATCTTCACCAACTGAGGTGGTTGAGCCACGTGTTACATATGCCTGAACACCGATTACCAGGATGCGCAATGCTGACTAGTATTGGAAATGGTTGGAAGAAAGTGAGGGGTGGTCAAACCAAAACATGGCATCAGTGCTTAAAGTCACTATCCTCTAGTCTGAGTCATGTTGGTAGATGTAGACTAATTGGTTGGGGTCCATGTGACAGTCGTATCTAATGGTTGGATACTCTGTGTGACATGGCTCAGAATCGATTACAACGGTGTGAGTTTATACACTCTTTATCTTCCCTTAAACCTTGAGATAAAATTGCTTTATATATGTGTTTCTTCCTGTACTATATCTTTATATGAAATCTTTCTCTCATATATTGCCACCATTAAATTAACTACTTCTATGAATCCGGTGTTCATCTTGTTCTGCTAATGAGGTGTAGCAACTTGGACCTATGCATATATGTGCCTGGTTTCACGTTGTAGCTGACTGACTATTTATAAACTTTAACGAGCAACCGATTGATATCAATGGTTCAATAGGCGGTTTTGTGTTTTAATAAACGATGCCTATAATACGTATTCTTTGTGTCTTTTTAGGACACGCTTTACCAAACCCCACTTTTATCTTAGAGGATGGGATCTGTGTAAATTTGGATATTCAGCAGTTAAATTTGCTTTTCTATAAACTGACCGCTTTATAGCTCTGTCATCTCTTCTTTTAAAAAGTATGTCTAAAAAGGAAAACCGGTAATTATTTCATTTTTCATAGATAAGAACGATATCATTTTGCAGGTAATTGAGTAACTTAAGTCGTACAACAATTCAGTATGATTATGAGCGGATATGAATGATAACCAGTAATGTAATCGAGGATGATCATCATCAGATATCAAGACTCACGTTATATTATTGTTAAGATTTTCAAGACTCTTATTAATGATATCTTTAAAACTACATTCTTCAGCCTCTGTTTGCATGGCAGTTCTCTAAATAGATACCACGATATTCCCTGTAAATTTATTTTTCTCCATCTTTTGATCATTTTAAGTGAGTAGGTGTGCACTCAGTTTTCAGTAGAAACAAAATTACTCAGTGAGATGCAAATACGTCTCGTTAATTAGTCTTAGTAAGGATAAGATTACTTTAGGGATAAAACTGTAATCTACACTCTTCATGAGGTTATTAAGCAACAAAGATGATAAATAATTAATGAATTCATTTGGGAGAGAATAAGATGCGAATTGTCCATTTACTTCACTTTAAAAATTAACAGAACCAAGTTGTTCGATAAAAAATACACTTTTATGTTGCGTACAAAATAACTGTAATGGTATTTTAAGCAGAGATAAGTAGTAGCCACTAATGAAATTCAGTTCGGACTGACCCTACTGAGTTTATTCAAAATATTGTGAAATATTTTTTATTATTATTTCAAAGAGTATTTCCTAGTTTTTATGTAAATATATTACAATAAGATTATACAAATACCAAGCTAAAAAATACACTAATTATTTGATATATAATCCTGGATAACTGCATAATACCTTATTAGCTTTTTTCAACAGTTCCAAATGTTTCTGCAAAAGACTTTGTGTCCAGGTCATGGGGTGTCATCCAAACGGTGGTGAAATTAGTTAACCGAGAAATTCTATTAACACTTAGTGTATCGTTTAAAGATAACACTGATAAAAATCATGAAATAAAGGTTATAGAAAGTATCAAACATGTAGTAAATTAAATTACTTTAACCCCATAACTTTGAAGTTAAAAATTCAATCACTTCAATATGTATAACGTAAAATGATACACTGTTATACTTCAATTTACTCTGTTATCTTCTTTGCTTTTAGTGCGATATATACATAGTGAAGTCTTTCATTTATGCCATCATTATGTTTAACTAAAACTCATAGAATAATCACAAACACCAGAAACTTTAATACATTAATTGCTTCACATATAAATGAATCGTCTCATTTTTATATTGTGAACCGGAGGACAACTTTATTAGCTCTGATGAACCAGTGACCGATTGGAAAATTTTTGTTTTCTTTGGGTGCACTAACCTTTGGCTAGAGTGTTGGAAAAATACAATGGAATTTCCTACTAGTGTTAGTTAAACGTTCTATATATGCTATGTAATTATAAATATCCAACTGGATTTGTATTGAAAAGAAAACGTATACAACAGTAACAATCCTAATGTTTATTAAAATAATGTACATCAAATAACCGTTAATGACTTATTGACAAAAGATATTTTGTTACATCATTGTATGTCCTGATTATTTTAGAAGCTTCATGATATATTGTCTGCTTTATCGTACATCAGCTGTATGTATTCACATGTCCTTTTTTAATGAATGATGAGCTTTAATTTTCAAAATACTTCTGATTAGGTCAGCAACATCAATAAGATCTCGTAAATTTGTAGTCGTTCTTTTCATATATTCTATCCGACTTGAATTCACAGTTTCACTTATCCAATTACAACAGTTTGGATGTGATTGATTGTTTACTATATAATCGATGACAATTATCCATTGCTTCTGCTACTTTTAGTTAGTGTATAAGATCTTGGAGTTTTTATACTTAGTACTCTGGATATTAATACATCCATCGTCTTTGTTGTTTTGCACGCGGAAAATGTTTGATGAGAGTTTAATACTATATTGGTGAAATCGAAATAAACTTAACATATAAGAATTATTGTTCTTCCGATAAGATAAAATTTGAGAATTTGAATTTAGAAGGATATCTATGTTCTCAGTGAAAAGAAAACACAGTGCAGATAATGGGGACAAAAGAAGCCAAACTTTAAACCTTGTTTTCTCAGTTTCATAGAATTCAAAATGGAAACTAGAAAACAAAAATAGAGATTCGTGAGTAAAGTATGGATAGAAATAATTTCGATTGTACAGAAGACAAAATCACGAGAAATTCGTTAGAAACGACAAACACATTGAAGGTTTTCTTTAGCGAAATCTGAAACAAACAATCTCTTGTATGTCTTCAGAAGTGTGCATACTTAACCATTATATTTCGTCATAAACATAACAATCAAAATCGTATTGTACTAACTTACTGATTTCATGCTGAATTGGTTCCAGTGAAATTTGATTATCTCTCTACAACACATAAAAGACAAATAAGATTAAACTTTTGGCGATTTCAGACTAGGATTCGAAGACAAATTTATTGCCTAATCATAACAGTTTACTGAACCAAATATCGGTGTTAAAATGTGTTTTGTTAGGATGTATTTCACGCTACAGCCTAAAAAATGAAAGAGTAAAACGTAATACACCTATGCATTGTTTGAATTTCCTGCACAATCAACATAGAGTGCAAAACATAAGTCTACTTTGTGTTGATCCACGTAGTTAAGCTAATTCTCTAAATTTAGGCGATATCCTCTAATAAGACTGACAATGTGAAAATTGAGTTTTTTTCAAAGTTTATTTGATATATATTTTATATATATATATATATTTGAAGTTAGCTCAGAACATATCTCCAGTAATCCACATTTGAAATTATAAGAGGTTTATGCTAAAACCATAATAAGCTATACATAACTATACATTTTCACTACAATTTACAAAGTAAGAAAAGTGAAGTATGACTTGTTCTTTCAGATATCATTAAAAATACTTACTATTTACTAAATGTAAATGTGTTACTGGTGTTACATGTTTCCTTTGATTTAAAAATACATATTTTATTATTTTATACCCATGTAGTAGAAAGTAGGTTGTGTGTTGTTTTTCACTGGTCGGTTCTTGTTTTAGAATGTCTGTAAATGTATTGGTTAGTAAAGATATGTCTATGTATTTTGTTCAACCTACTGGATAATATTTTTAATATAATTTATTTTTATACTTAACTAGTTAGTGGGATCTTTATTTAAATGGTATACAATGGATCAAACCTGGAGAGTTTGCTTTCAATATTTAGAAAGTTATCATACAGAACAAAAATATCCAACATGTAATCCATGCCAAAAGTTGTTTAACTAGTAATAATATATAAATACTGGTAAAAAAACACCTATTTTGGTATTCATTACCATCTTTATTTGCAGTAATCACACGATGCATTAGCATTAAAATTATATTTAGGAAGTCTTTTAATATGATTTATTCGATTACATTTACAGGAAACATTACCAAGTCTGAAAACAAGTCGAAGAGGTATATTTTAATAATTGAACAGATAATATTTTGACAATTTTGTTACTACAAAAATCTACCGGGAATTAATATATTATTTTTACTAAGTACAGTAAAAAAATATTGGATGGATTGTAGCTCTCAGTAGAACTCAGAGTACACATTTCATCTTATTTAGGGCTCCTCGGGTAAATGAACATGCATACTCGAACTTGAACAAATTACCTTTCATTCAACGCGTTAATCACATAGCTATGAGTTGAGATAGCCACTAACTTGTTCAACTAATATGGTGTTAGTATTAGTATTATCATTATGGTTGAATTATCCGGCTGTTGATATTAAGGACTGAGGTTTACTGATTAGATAAGACGTTGAGCTAAAGGCACTTATTAGAGCTTCAATATGAGTATCAACAACATAATGCATATGCATCTAGCTGATAGGTCTCAAGTAGGAAAAATGAGCCTCGAATTCTTCAGTTCCATTCATTACCTAAGTCCCCTTTAACTTAGGGGTTGTATTTATGAGAACCTACCATCATATGGGCAATTATATAACTGTTTTCAACCACTTTAAAAATCTACAATGGAGCACACATTTGTTTTTTCAAATAATATAACGCGGAACTGATAATTTTTGAGACAAGCATTTACACTTTTGAATAAGGATTCAGGTAATGAGCTAAATTTCTAGAGATCGCTGAAAATACATTTTAGTATGCAGCGAAAAGTATTTTTTAACTACTAACTGAGAAGTAAATACAAACTATTTACATTGTACTCATTTTATGTATATCTAATATCATAGCTAATCTGTTCTCAGATGTACAATTTATCACTATTTCGTCAATACAAATTTCGGTAATACTACTTGTAGAGCTTTGGAAATATCAAATATAAATCCTCGGTTAGTACGATAAAGCCAATGCACAGAATAAAATGGTGATAGGCAGAAATATTCAATAATGTTTGTCCATTTTCATTGTATATTCTCAAAGAATCTAAAATATTTCAACGATCGAGGTTTTATCAGAGTTTATGAATTATTTCTTAATTGTTTTTATTTTGTTAGTATTAATGGTGAAAAAGCACCGATTTTCGTTCAGAATATTTTATAATTAGCAGATAGATTCACATAAACAAGAATTTTATGTTACACTTCTGTAGTTATCAGTTCTACGTAATATGTCAAAGTTAAGCTGATATGAGGTACCAATAATCACACTGTATCATTGGAAACTATTTGGTTAATAATATTTGTGTTTTCGGCTTTTTTGCCGCTATCTACATCTTAATCTTTTAATATTTAAATTAATCTTCCAGTAGGTCAAAATAAGTCAATGAATCATATTTTTGATTGCTTATGAGGAAGGTATAAAGCAAGAGAGTGGTTTAACATTGAAAAATTCATTTGTTTGATGTAAATTGTTTCTTTCTCTTGACTTGTACGCACACTTAGCTCAGGACGCAAGCGAATGATACTGACTTTTCAAGATAGACAAATAAATTATACTAAAAAATATCTATTAACTGTCAATATGATAAAAGTATCTTCTACGACAGGCGATACCTCCTAGTGTAGGAGTAGGCTTGAAGAAATGAGGCCATCCAAACCAAATCATAACATCAGTCCATGAAGACCTTGACAATTGAACCGGGATACGTTCTTAGGTTTAGACTACCTGATTTAGGTCCACGTGATTATCGTACCCAATAGTTAGAAACTTTGAATGATATGACTCAAAATCTCAACAATTTATATTTTTTTCAATCATATCTTCTATGTCTAAGCTTCCCTATTACCATTGATGCTGTTACTATCTCTATTATTCCTAGATTTGGCCTTATAACGTCATCTCTCTGTGTTAATGGGATATGGTAACTTCAACTAAAGTACGCACCTACAGGTTCTACGTCGTGACTGATAGACTGACTAAAATGACTTTGTTACAAATGTTAACGAAAAATATCGTCGGTTGGTTATATCAAAAATTTAAAAATTCGTTTTTGTTTAACAATCAGTAAGATGATTTTGAAGGGCCTATCTATTGAAAAGTAATTAAATTGCCTGATGCACAGCTTAGGACGTTTTATATTTAGTTTAATGGAAAATAAAAGTAGAACACCTTTTTATCAGACATCGCCTGATATCCAAAGCTAACTACTTATTTTATTCAGCTGTTTTAAATGTTTTCTCATAATGCATAATTTCTCAGCAAATGTTTAGTATTGACGGATAAATTGTTTAGCAGTTTGTTCATTAATATAGTATGTACTTCCATTAAAATAAATATCTCAGCCTACATATATATTCAAAATCCTTCAGTAAGGGTCACTGTATTTTTGATATAGTGCTATATTATAGTATGAAGCTCCTAAATCAGAGTCCCATGCTGTATTTCTTGTTTAAATTTGATACAGAAAAGAGGAAAATTGTGGTAGACACTGATACAATAATCAGTGAAGTTATTTTAAATACTTTATAAAATTCAGTGGGTAGTTATTATTCTTTTAGTCATGACATGATGCATAACATTGAAACAGTCTTAATGTGATAAAAATAAATATGTTTTCGGTGTTAGCATTGTACGTTTACATTTTACTCTACAACCAGCAGATAATATGATTGTTTGGTGAGACATGACAGCTCATATGATTGATGCTAAAAATAAGCCTTCAATGAATTGTTTTTATATTATACGTGTTATGTCTATTCGATGAGTTAACTGTTGACACGTTTTAAACAAGGAAGTGATGACTCGAAAAATTTATAACCAACGTTTGCATTAAGAAATCGATATGTTTAGCTACTTTCATACTGTTACCTCATGATAAGAAGAATATTAAAGTACAAATATATTTGTTAGTGTATAGAAAAGACAGTTCACAATATCTCACTCGAAATGATAAACGTCTCTGTCGTTTTTCAATTGGCACAACTACAATTTAATAAATAAAAAGACAAAAAAGAGGAAACATTTTGGAAAAGATGGTCTAAATAACAAAAACTGTGAATAAAATATATTACACTGGGTACATTCATTTATAGGTGTTTTCAAAATGGCTCAGATAAGGAGCTAAATAATCCTACAGTGAATATCAATGATGATTTTAGTCACTATATTTTATTCCAATTAAAAAATGATAGAACAATACTAAAACTCAATAATCTACATATTTTCTAAGATATAACACTATAGTCTGTAACTAAGATCAAGTGTTTATTTAAAAGTTATTCTTCGATATTAAGTTCAGACTAACAAATTCTTCAGTCTTTCAAAAACAGCGCACCGTCAGATGAAAGCTTGCTGGTAGTATGGTTACATTTGTTAATACAGTAATAATTGCATAAGTGTAAATACAGAAAAATATACATTCGCGGATGATCTGGCTCTTCTATCACAAACGCAACAACAAATGCAGGAGAAAACGACCAGTGTAGCAGCAACCTCAGTAGCAGTAGGTCTCAATATAAACAAAGAGAAAAGCAAGACTCTCCGATACAATACAATATGCACCAATCAAATTACACTTGACGGAGAAGCTTTGGAGGATGTGGAAACCTTTACATATCTGGGCAGCATCATTGATGAACACGGTGGATCTGATGCAGATGTGAGGGCGCTGATCGGCAAAGCAAGAGCAGCATACTTACAGCTGAAAAGCATCTGGAGCTCAAAACAATTGTCAACCAACACCAAGGTTAGAATTTTCAATACAAATGTCAAGACAGTTCTACTGTATGGTGCGGAGACGTGGAGAAATACGAAAGCCATTATCCAGAAGATACAAGTGTTCATCAACAGCTGTCTACGCAAAATACTTCGGATCCGATGGCCAGACACTATCAGCAATAAGTTACTGTGGGAGAGAACAAACCAGATTCCAGCAGAGGAAGAAATCAGGAAGAAGCGCTGGAAGTGGATTGGGCACACCTTGAGGAAATCAGCTAATTGCGTCACAAGACAAGCCCTCACATGGAATCCTGAAGGTCAACGGAGAAGAGGAAGACCAAAGAACACATTACGCCGAGAAATAGAGACAGACATGAGAAGAATGAACAAGAACTGGATAGAACTAGAAAAGGAAGCCCAGGACAGAGTGGGTTGGAGAAAGCTGGTCGGCGGCCTATGCTCCATTGGGAGTAACAGGCGTAAGTAAGTAAGTAAGTATTTGTCATGAAATTTCGTCATAGAAATTGAAGTTTGCTTAAGTGATTCATAAAAATCACTTGAAAGTCCGTACGTCTGCAGTTGTGCTAGTAGGCTTGCACCGACTAAACCCTCACCAAGTTTACACTTACTTCATTAAATTTTGCAATAGGGAAAGTCACCGCTGGACAAAACAAAGTATTTTCAAGATAATATCATACAGTGAATTTCTGACGATATAAGTAAGAAGCAAGACCAACGTTACATAGTGTCATATTGTGATTAGCCACATTTTTTTATTTATGATCAACCAGATATTAAATTCAGTTTGTATTAATGACTATTATTTTTCTCATTTAAACACGAGGAATCGACTCC